CCTTATGAACAACAACAAAAAATACCTTATAATCTAGTAATCCTGACCTGGTTAAAGACCCTAGATAGTTATAGACCTATGAAGAGAGACATGGAAAGACATATGCGCACCTATGCTCATTGTAGCATTATTCACAGTAGCAAGAGAGCAAAAGTGAATAACCCAGGTGCCCATCAATGGGTGAAATAATGTCCACCAAATGTGCTACATACAGAAAAAACAAACAAAGAAACTCACTGCTATCAAGTTGATTCTAATGCAGAGCGACCCTATAGGGCAGGGTGGAACTGCCCCTGTGAGTTTCCAAGACTGTAACTCTTTAGGGGAGCAGAAGTCCCCTTTTTATCCCAAGGAGTAGCTGGTGGTTTTGAACTGTTAAACTTGAAGTTAGCAGCCCAAAGCGTAACCTACTAAGTCACCAAGGCTCCATATATCCAATGAAATACTACACAATCATAAATGATCATCACTATGAGCCTGTAAAATATAAGTGGATGAAATGGGAGGATATAAAGTGAAATAAGCCATTCAAATAGGGAATAGTATGCATGACCCTACTTTTATAGTTAGATACACAGAGAAAGAATGTTCGTTGGTGTTAACAGGTGGTTTTAGACTGGGTTCTCTAAAGGAATAAAGCAAATTATACTATAAGCAAGCAAAACCAATTGTCACTAAGTCAATTCTGACTCACAGTGACCCTATATAGGGTTTCTGAGGCATAGACCGCTTCATCTTTCTTTGATGGAGCAGCGGGTGAGTTTGAACTGCTGGCTTTGTGGTTAGCAGTTCAACACTCACCCCACAGTACCACCAGGGATATGAACCTTATTTGTAGAATCAGGTAAGAGATTTCTCAAGAAAATGGCTCACATGGTTGATGCTGCTGGGTACTGTCAGGTCAGTTCTTATGTTTGACCCCATTGTTGCAGCCACTGTGTCAATCCATCTTATTGAGGGCCTTCCTCTTTTTTGCTGCCCCTCTAATTTACCAAACATGTTGTCCTTCTCCAGGGACTGGTCTCTTCTGATAACATACTCTAAGAAGCATTCTGGCTGTACTTGTTCCAAGACAGATTTGTTTGTTCTTTTAGCAGTCCGCGGTATCTTCAATATTCTACACTAGCACTACAGTTGAAAGTATCAATTCTTCTTCAGTCTTACTTATTCAATGTCCAACTTTCACAAGCATGAGGCAATTAAAAATACAACAGCTTGGCTTGGGCACATCTTAGTTCTTAAAATCACACCCTTGCTTTTCAACACTTTAAAGTGGTCTTGTGCAGCACATTTACCCAACTTTTTGAATGCTGCTTCCACAAGCACTGATAACATATGCAAGCAAGGTGAAATTGTTGACAACTTCAATCTTTCCTCCATTTATCCTGATGTTGCCTATTGGTCCAGTTGTGAGGATTTCAGTCTTCTTTAATGTTAAGTTGTAATGTAAGAAATCCATATTGGAGGCTGCAAGCCATGATCTTCATCAGCAAGTGTTTCAAGTCCTCCTCACTTTCAGCAAGCAAAATTGTGTGATCTGCATATGGAAGGTTGTTAATAAGCCTTCCTCCAATCCTAATGCTTCATTCTTCTTCATATAATCTAGCTTCCTTGATGATATGCCAGTATACAAACTGAATAGATAAGGTGAAAAGACACAACCCTGACACACAATTTCCTCATCATAAATCATATAGTTTTTCTTTGTTCTATTTGCACAGTTGTCTCTTGATCCATGTACAGTTTCCACATGAGGATAATGAAATTTTCTGGAATTCCCATTCTT